GTGTTGCCCTCCACAAAATCTGCTGAAGTAACTAAAATATACAGATAACTGCATTTTCTCCACAGGCATATAAATCTGTTTACCAGTATTTCAACATACCTGCTGGTGTGTATCTCCCAGATAAGCATTACTGGCACTTATAAAGTAGGTAGCTCCCCACCTTATTTTCCCAAGAAGCAGGGTCTGGGGTCGAGGACAGCACACACCTGCTCCACACCTCCAACATACTGTATTGCAGTCTCTTACCTGCAGGTTCCTTCCCCTAATTTCATCTCAGGCTGTTTTGAGGGACTCCGTAAGTTGATAATTCAGTCATTGGTTTTCTGTAGCAGCACCCTTCTGTGCAGAGACAGACGGTACTTAATAGATTGTATATTCCCCTATTTGCAAGCTAATATTCACTTAACCATCCAGGAAAGAAACAAACCCTTTTGTACTCAATCATTATCAGTATACCAACAATAAATGGAAAAGGTGAATCATGCATACTTTTTGTTAAAATACAGGCCTCTCCTACCTTCACCACATACAGCATTTATCTGAGCAACATTCGGCAATGTGTTACAGACAGACATTTTGAAATGCAAATATTTGGAATATAAGACCAAAATGTCCTACCTTTCTTTCAAAATTTGTTGTATTACATTAAGCATGCTGCTGCTAGGACAGACTACAAATATATCGAGCTTAACAACTTTCTTTAAGGACCCTAAATCTTGGTATACAATGCAGAAGGTTTTTTATTGAAAACAAACAACTGAAATGGCCCATTAGGACAGTTAGCCCAGAACCCTCCCTTGCCAGGTTCATTGCTTACAGTCAGGACCAGCAGTATAATGCAATTATGTGGCTGTGTACTGTGCAGCATCTTAGGAAAATATATCTGATCATATGTCTGTTTTTCTCTGGTAAAAAGAGCTTGTGGACAGCTTGATGGCAGGATATGGCTGGTCTTTGTGTGTGGCGATAGCCAGAGTGATGGTAAGAATTAAAGACTAAACACTGTAATTGCCTGTGATTTTATTTGTTTTTGAGTAACATTTTGAATAATTTTTATATCTAAGTGGCCTGTATTTGCCTATACCTATTCAATTGTTACAGTGATTGTTGGCAGTGTTTTGGCCCATTCCCAGGGATGAACATAATTTTGGGGGAAAATATGTACCTGGGACTGTTCCCAATAAGTAGTCCTGGCAGAGTATACAGGCAGGAGTTGTATTTTTGTTTGTATTGTTTTACCCATACACCCAGAGAACACCTGGCCCATTTTACTTACTTATGTTGACAGTCATTTTCTCATACAGTCTTTTATAAACACCTGAAAGAAGGAGTAAGTTCTTCTTATCCTGATTGTCTCATTTTGAGAGGATCTTGAAAGGTTATTAGGTAAAAGCCTCAGACCAAATAATTTCCTACCATGCAGTCAAACATCAAGAAGAAATTAATTCCACTCTGATGGAGTCAGAGTTTAGAGTATGAATAAGATTTCATTTGGTTATAGCTTTTGTAAAAAAAATCTTGCAGCAGAAACATTTTTAATTAGTACAGTAATTATTAAGATATCAAGAGCAATTTGAATCTTGAGCAGGAAATATCCCTTATGTTGGGAAATTTATTTCAAAACCAACAGGAATTGCGTATTGTTGATAGGCTTGATTTCCCCAGTTAAAATGTCCCATCGATAAAGCCACTCTGAGACTAGTGCATGAGATGGAGGAAAAGGGTCAGCATACAGAGTTTGCATTACCTCTGTGGCTTCTTAGTTTCAGTAACGGGCAAGAGCCAGGTTTGCTCAGGATAAACCAGAAGGTACCTGTGTATTAGTGTCTGGGTGATAACACACAGGCTAGGTAGTCTATACTGCTAAATGAAAAAGGACTAAGCAGTGTGACTGAGTCCAAATGACCAAACAATTTGTGTTCACACTCCTCTCTGGATTCTTTGCAGATTTGCTTTGGAGAAAGTTATTGGGAGCAATCTAAAGCAGAAATAAGGAGCAAAGCAGGAGCCAGCAGTGTGGGCAATCTATCACAACCGATCAAATTCACTTTCTGAATCTTTTTTATTAAACAGTTTAAATGCCCTCAGTGTCGCCCTGACTACCCTGGATTTCTAGTGCAATGAGATATGATGGTGTAGAATCATTACACGAATCTGTATCATTCACATTTATACTTCCTATCCTGGTCCAAGGTGCACATAAAATCTTCAATATAACTTTATCTAGAGACTGTTGGATGGCTGTGGAATGGATTGCAGAAAGTGGCCAGGAGCCCACGAGTTCCCTAAATAGGCAGGAAAAGGATCTTTGCAGATAGGTCTTTGAATTAAGATTGACATCACATTTTGTAAGGATGTGTTTCAGCAGCCTTGTTAACAGGTATGATACTAAGGCACAGGCGTGCTGTCATTTATGCTCATCTAATGATGTAAGTCAGTAGCACAAAAGGAGTGAAATTGAGCCTCCTCATCCATGGCTTCTTGCTGTAGTTTAAAATGT